TCAGGACCTAATGCCATAAATTCCTTACCCTCTCTGATTCCTCAGAAGCATCTCTGGATGGTTATCAAGAAATGCTTCTTGGAGTGACTTCCACAGTTTCTGGGCTAACTCCAGATTCTGGGATATTCTGGAGGACCCTGAATGGTCTCAGGCATGGAGCTCATTCATCCAGCCAGCCTCTGCATAGGGCCAAACCTGGAGGCAAGCTTTTATGACAGGAATGCTTCAAATCCATCAGACTCTGGACTTAAGTAGCTCTTTCTGAATTGCCCCAATCTCAATATAAATCTCTCTGCAATGTGGCTGATTCATTGGCGTCTTCCCTTGGGTGCTACTCTGTGTGGATTTACCTGGGTCTCAAACACTAAGTCTCCCTCACTACTGAATCATGCATAACAAGAGTAAACTGAGGTCCCACATGCATGGAGACACAAGGCTGGGAGAGCCTTTGTGGGGAACACCTGCACGATGAGCCATCTGCCACTCTTCCTATCATTCTCTGGACTCCTCCACCAATCTGGTTCTTTGTGGAGGACAAACCAAACTACACCAAAAATGGCTTGAACATTTTCTATATGCAGTAGCAAACCTATATTATAAAACATGCACTCAAATTTCAGATCATATTTGACTTATTTTCCTAAAACCAAATCAGACTAGATTAGGGTGGTACCCAAATAATTTTTAATTGGATGGTCATTAGCAAATATGATGTTTGCTAATTAGTTAGACTCAAATTAGTGCATTGAACACAGAAGCAATGAGACTAAAATAAATGTGATGAGCACTATTTCCTCTACTGTGTTTGACCGGGATATTTTTTCTTTATTTTCTCTTTTAAAATTTATGTCCAAGAAATATATAGCAACAATGACAACAAACTGGCTATAGAAAGTTGCTTGTGCTCTTTAATGGCCAATAAAAATAATAAGGGTGGGGGTAAGTGGGGAGAGATTAACTGAGGAACTTATATGCATACTAGAGGCCTGGTGCATGAAATTCATGCACGGAGGGAGGGGGGTCCCCTAAGCCCGACCTGCAATGACGCCAGCATCCTGCGCCCCGTGCCCCATCCAGCCTCTGGCCAGAGGCCCGCCCGCCCTCCCTCCCTCTGGCGAGGCTGAGGGGACTGGGCACTGCCATCTTGTGGCTATGGGTGCCACCATCTTTGTGACAGAGTGATGGTTAATTTGCATATTACCCTTTTATTAGATAGGATATGCATAGTCCATGGACACAGACAATAGTGTGGTAAAGGCCTGGGAGGGGTGGGTGTGGGGTGGAGGGGGTTAATGGGAAAAAGGGGGGGATATCTGTAGTACTTTCAACAATAAAGATAAATTAAAAATGATGATAATAATAATAAGGGGATGACAGTATTAGTGATTTTGTTGGCATACATGAAAATCTGGTAGCATGCAAATACTTCCCAAATGTATGTATCAAATTACTTATACATTTTTCCTTAAATTTTACTCATAATAAGATCTTTTATATTTTAGATAATCAAGACTAAGAATTTGAAAAATTATTTGGAAAAAGGTCTCTCAAATGGACAAATATTGAATACTACAATGATCTCAGCCTACTGCTAGAAGGAAATTTGACAAAGTTCCTTAGTAGCATCTTTGGATGGTATAAAGAAACGCTTGTTGGAATGAACTCCACCGTTTCACTTTACTTCATAATCTGGGCCATCTGTAAATCCCTCACCATCCTATAATTCTCTGCTGAATACACTCAAGTCAGAATTCACTGTTTTTATTATTGTGAATTAAAGGCTACCATTCATCAAGAATATGCTACATCCCAGATAGTGTTCAAATAAAGTACCAGCTTTAACCTTCTCAATAA